GATTTATATTGATTGTTTCCTAGTATGATTTGATTGCTTATTTGTACCCTGTGTCTATCATTAAGTGTTGTACCTTATGATTTGTGACGAATGTGTCTTTTCTTTTATGTACACGGAGAGCATATGCACCAAAGACAAATTCCTTGTGTGTCCAGTCGCACTTGGCCAATAAAGAATTCTATTCTATTCTATTCTATTTCACAAGATTTCAGGTGACTTTTAGGGACAGGGCGACCTAAGGCAGCAATGTCGAATGAATTCTGGGGGCTGACAAAAACTCAAAGACCTTCCCCTGAGATCCAGAACACATATTTTTGGAACTACACTGCTTTTCAGAAGACCTCGAATTACCCAAGGCTTTTAAATGGAGTGAAAGAGCTACGGCTGCTTAGAAAAATGATGGGACAGAATCCAAGCCTTACCTCTTCCATTCGTTTGTTGTAAGTATCTTTTGCAGTGGCAACCGCTGCCAGATTGTTTGCTTCTGCAGTGGCCTGTAAAGGCAGAATGGGGAACAGGGACAAAGAGGGAAAAATGTTGCTATGGAAACAGGAGGCCATTGACCATAACAGTTGGAAAATTCTGTGAGTTTATTAATTGCAAGCAAGGAGGCTTTTTCGCCTAAAGCGTCAGGGAAGCTCAGAGTCAGGATCAAGCAAACCATGTCAATTCCTGGATGGTGCTGGAGGAATCATTCTCAGCACAAGGGGGAAAGTGCTTTTTGGAAGAGATGCTTTGGAAGAAAGGCTTTGCACATTGCCTTGAACTCTTGGAGCAAAGGCAGGGGATTATAAATCTAAATCTTATATAAATAAGCACCCAAATAGTACACAAACAGTTTCTCTACTACTTGTAAAAATTCTTTTAGGGTGACTCCAATCAGTTCTCTTTTTTTCCATCCACAATCCCTTTTCTCTCCTAGTGAATGCACATTTAACCTGGGAAGAGGTTATTAGATGCTTTAATTTACTACTTTCCACAAAAATCTCTCCTCTAGTCCTCAGTTAATCAGCTAAGGCGCTGATGATAAAAGCAGGGACTGTTTTTTTCCTTACTGTTTAGCAATTTTGATGGAAAGGGGAGAAAAACTGAGATAAGGGAAATGTCTATGGAGATTCTCAGTCATCCAGGTCATGGTTGGCCCAAAGGAGCTTTTTTCAAGAAGCAACTGGACTTTCTGGTTTTTGTTTGAAGACATTTTGCTTCTCATCCAAGAAGCTTCTTCAGTTCTGAGCTCTGAACTAAAGAAGCTTCTTGGATGAGAAGTAAAACATCTTCAAACAAAAACCAGACAGTCTAGTTGCCTCTTGAAAAAAGCACGCGGATACGCCCTTATACATTAGCAAAGCATCAAGAAAACTGGTTTACGGTTTATTCTGAAAGCAAGACTAGATTGAATTGTGAGTGTTTTTGCATGTTTCTAAAGAGAGATATCACTATGACCACCATTTACACATAGTAGTATG